AAGCTGAGAAGCCCAAGGTTGACAAGTAAAAAGGCACAGTTCCGATGTTACCAAACCACACGACAGGCCATTGACTCAAGTCCACTGTAAGTCCCAAGGTCGGCAGAGCATAGCAGGCTGCTGAGCAATGAAATGCCTACATGCAGGGTCCAAGCGTGCCAAAGGCTAGAAACCATTCTCAAAGCTTCTCCTTATATACAGGAAACAGACCACATACCCAAAGGCAGCTACTCAGCTGCTCCCAGTAGGTTGCACCATGGAGTTGAGTACCAGTCTCATCATGGGGAATACTACATCCAGCTGCCCAGTCACTCAACCAGGCCTAGCCAAGTTGACATACAAACATAACCATCACACTGCCTGCCCCTCAAAAGTCCAATCACTACCTGGAAGTGGGGGAGCAGTGCAGGTGAAAGAACACCAGCTTGGTCCTGCATCTCCAGCTGTGGGGTCTAGACTGACAAAGACCCTTGCTAGGAGGGCTTGCCTCTGTGCTGAATCTGCCTGGCACTCAGGGCATAGCAAAATATTCATAGCAGGGGAGCCCAACCTCAGGGCCGATACCTGTCACTAGCTATTCCACGTATGGACCAGTGTCCCCATCCATACTGTGAGCACCCCTGGTTCTAACCCAGCACAAGGGCGTACCACACAGAACACACCAGGGAGCTGGCCAGCTTAGACAGTGCTGTGGACACAAAGTGTGGGTGCAGGCCCTGCAGAAGCACACCCTGGCACCCTGCAGGGAATCAGTAGATTGACACTACAGCCACCTGCTACTGCCTGACATGATGCTTATGACCAGGGTCTCCAGGGATGAGCCTCACTTATCTGGAGAGGAGGCTCCATTCAGTGACCAAGCTGACAAAGCAAAGCATACAAAAGCTACCTCAGACAGGAACACATTCAACAATGGACAGATCTCTAGCCCAGGACTCAGCTCCAGCTCTTGCCAAGGCTGGGTGAAAACCTCCAATGCTTGGAGAACTGATTGAAACTTTTAAGACTAGAGGTGACTTCTTTTGGGGAAAGAGAAATTCTCCAGCCAAGGTATTGGGCATCCTCTATTCTTTAACAATTTCCTAATTCCCAACCAGAGCTGCTTGGCAAGAGATTGAAAAATCCACGAGAACTGTTAACAAGGACCCAGGACACTGGCAATTTCCACAAACACTTAGAAGCAGAAGGTCTCTTGCATCAATGATGCAACCCCATGTTTTAGAACTCCTTGCTGGAATGCTCCCTGCAAAAGGAACACCGATTTCACTCTATATGTGGTTATTAAACAACTTCTTAATTTTTATTGTGATTTTGAGTGAAAGTTTACAGAGCAAATTATTTTTCTGTACAGCAGTTGATACACATTTTGTTTCATGACACTGACTGCTCTCTTCCCACTTCCTCCCTGTATAAACAAGTTTTCTTGAGAAATACTTCTGCTCTGGATTTGAAAGCACCTCCTTACAGCTTCTGCTCATAGATCTTACTCTGTCCTGAGCCCTCTGCCCCATAACCATCATGCAGGCTGTATCACGTCAGGGATGTTGTCATTAACCACCATCTTTTCCTCCTGTCTTCCACAAGACACCAATAGGGCTGACTCAGTTCTTAAGAGAGCACAAATATAAGTCAATTATTTCCAGCCCTCTTGATGTAAGTCTCAGATACAAATGGATTTGGGTAAGAAGGCTGATCAGCACTCCTCACCTGTCCCCAAATGGGCAATGTGGGCAGTGGAACTGTCATTGTCCCTGGCTATAAGGCTCTGGGGACATGTCCATTTGTGACATTCCCTAGCTATGATCTTGAGAAACCATTTAACCTTTAGGAGCCCTCTGTTATAGTGGGACAACAGACAAAGCAACCAGGGTATTTTCACACTTTTGTCCTTCTCCAGAGGGAGATAGAGACACTTCTTTTTGCCTTGAGGAAGAAGCCAGGCCCACAGCAGGAGAGCAAGGAGCCACACTGCACAGGGACCCAGCACCTCCTGCCTGTGGTGCTGCTTTTCACTCTCTCTCCATCAAGAAGAGGCAATGCACGGATTGAGTCTTGAGTAGGACTTTTGGCTCCAACCCCTCAGTCCAAGGGAGCACATAAGAGAAAAAGGAGTCCTGGGCAAAAGAATGTGAGAGTGGGAATGAGCTGCAAGACCCTCTAGGTTGGTCAGTCACTCTCACGAAGAGGGGAAACTGACGCCCGGAAGAGACCCTGATGGTAAATTGACACCTAGCGCATGCAAGGGTCTGTAACGGACCCAGAGCTAGACTTTAAAGCCACCATCCTCCCCGCACTCTCGTGCTCTCCAATGGCACATCCCTAGCACGATCCCTTTTCTTCCTCTGAGGCTGGGGTCATTTTCCTTCTATCCCCAACCACATCATAAATTCCCCCTTCCTGCTATGCCCCAAATCATTCTGAACACATTTCTCAGGGTTACACTGTGCAAGAATAGAGCGAGGTTAAGAGTTTGGAGTATGTAAAAATGGCATGGTGGTGGCGTCTGACCTCCTCTAACTTAACAAGGAGGGAGGAGAAGCAAGATCAATATCAAGAGCTCAAAGATGATTACCATGAAAGGGAGATGAGACATGTCTCCACCCTCTAATCTTTTTACCAATTCTGATACCAACTGCCCCTTTTATAGTACTCTTTACTTTTCTGCTGGATAATTCGTTGTGATGGCCACACAGAACTCACAGACAATACTCAGTATTATGTGTTTATTAGGGAATTAACAAGTTGCAATTTAGAATCAGAAACAACTCAGGATACAGTATCTTCTCAGCGGTGTTGTAAGCAGGCTTCTCTCTGGTCCTCAGCCTCTTGGCCCGGCAGTCACTTGGCCTTTGCCTTGCTCAAGCAAGTATTACAAACCTTTTTTTGCTCTGCTGATAAATGTCTACAGGCACCCCACTCTGCCAGCAAGCCTCCTGCCTGAAGGGATTCAGCTTTCTTGCTCCATGAGCTGGGAGGAAACCCACCACTCTGTCTGTTTCCAGTCTCTTGCTTCTTTTGCTGCCACTCCTCACTGTCTCTGTTACAGCTCTGTCTCCTAGATAGAAGAGGTTCAGCACAGGGGTCTCGGGTCTAAAGGATGCACTCTACTCCTGGCTCTTCCTTCTTGAAAGTAGTGAGATCTCTCCCTTTCTGCCTAACAGGATAACAAAACTAAACAATCCCCACGTTAGGGTTCCACACATCTTATTTGCATGGTTCCACCCCCATAAGAGGGCCATGAACCTTATTTACATTATTGGCACACTAGCCAATCCCCTTGGTGGGCTACAAGAACCTCACATGTGCATTGTCCCACCCAGTCATCTGGGTAGGAATCACAAAGACCAAGGCTAGAAGGGCCATACCAAACAATTCACTGTACCACAAAGAGTGTCCAAAGAAAAGTGTACAAATCTCTGATTTACCTTTACAATTCCCAGAATCTGCCGTTACAGAAACTTGCTGATCACATTCATCCCAGCAAAAGATCAATGGTATTCCCAGGATACAAACTTAAGTCCTAACAAAAATCACCCATCACAGATGTAGTACACGTGTTACCTACTAAGACTCTCAGAGTGAAACAGGAGGTTCAGTTTCTAAGCAGGTAAGACAGGAAACATAAGTTTCAGATCCCACCCTAATACATCCCTCCTGGGGTGGGTGAAAGGGCTCCTGGCTTTCCTAATAGCATGTCATGGTCTGGAAAGTCTAAGAATGACAGAAAGATTCTGAAAATCCCAAATTAGGGCAGAGTGCTGCCTTGAGGCCCCTCAAAGGGGACTCACAGATGCTGAAAGCACAAATAGCTGCTGAAGGAGCACAGGACTAGTCTTTGTCAACAAAAGCAAATCCCCCTCTTCCTCTCAGTCTATCCAGAACTGACCAATCACTGCCTCAGCTTTCCCCTACCCTACTGAATGGTGACCACAGATATACCTTATCTGCTGCTCCCCAAGCCACCACCAGAATGAACTAGGCATATTTCCTCTCACTGTGCTCCCCTCCCCCTTGTCCAGGTGCATGGGGCTGTGGGGCAGGTGAGGAACCTACAGCCTTCTTGGAAGCCTTCCCCATCTGCCTAGGTCCACCTTGGAATTGCAAGCTGGAATAGGGACGAAAGCAGACATGAGAGCTAAGCTACCAGGAGGGATTCCCAACTGTGATCTCTGCCCTGCCAGCCTCGAGCTGGAGTAAGTTAACACATGTTTCTACATGTCCTGCTAGGTGGTCAGAAACCCAGATACCATGGATGCATCAGGCTCCTCCGTGGCCCTGAAGCAGCCTTTGGAACTTGGCCACTAGGAACATTCAGCTCTGCTTCCATTTGTGCCCTCTGCATCATGCAGTGCACAAGGGGCAGCCAGCATGAGATCCTCATATGCAGGGATTTTATGGAGTGTCATGAACTTTACAGTCCAGGAGAGTGTCCTAAATTTTGAAGCCTAACAAAGGGAATCAGTTTTCAAGTTGTCTAAAACCAAACCCATTGCCATTGCGACCCGACTAAATAAGAAATATAACCACCACAGGCAATTTTAACACGCATACACACAAATATAAAGGACATGACTTTAAAATAAGAAGCAATCTTTTAGATGTAGTAAATTTACCTCTGTGAAAAAACTCACTACTTTGCCTGTACTGTCCTCATTTTGCTCACAGTGAGCTTGTTAAAAACTGGAACTGGCCCAAGCTTTGGGAACCACTGATTGACGTCAGGGAAATGTTCGGAATTGCAAGTGCAAAAACTCCGAGTTCCTTTGATGCTCCGAACTCGGAAGTAGGTACGGCCATCAATATGACTCTAGGCCATCTGCGCTCCACAGAGTATCGCAAATGACTCACACATGTACAGTGGCTTCAACCAGATGTAATTACACAGGAATGAAACATGCACAAGCCAAGTGACTACAGTGATAGCTACCGCGGCTTTCTATGTACATGAACTCTCGGGAGAATCCACCTCGGGCAGGTACATTCGACCTGAGGCCCCCATAATGCGTGTCCCAGCAGGAAGCCCCTCCAGGAAGGCCTACAGCCCACACCCGGTTGCTGAGACGCCGCGGGCCATGCGGACTCACCTCCCGCTTGCTGCCCCCGCGACGCAGACACTCCGAGTGGCCTCCACCACTCACCGTTCGGGGGAGCCCGGGTGAGGGCGGCCGCTGCCAGCCCGACCAGCGGGCGCCACAGCATGAAGATGTTCCTATACATAGGACGTCCCACACTTTCCTGCCCGCCCCCAAGACGTCGCGTCTTCGCCGGCTCCGCCCCACCCCGCCCCGCCTCGCCTCGCCCCGCCCCGCCTCGCCTCTCCTTGCCGGGCCTTCTCGTCGCGAAGGTCCCGTCATCAGTGACGTTATCTTCACGCGACGCTGCGCCGCGGATGACGTCGCGGGTGTTGCAGCTGGAGGGCTTCTGGTGCTGACTTGATTGTGACCTTGTGAGTGCCTTTGGTTGCATCCCTTCTTGTCCCACTAGGCCAGTGGCGGTGCAGACTGCTCGTCCTCGGGGCCTCTTCCGGGGTAACGGTGATGGTGGCAGGTTGGTGCTAAAAAGACCCAACCATCTGCCCTTTCCACCCCATCATGCACGTGGGGAAACAGACTGGAAGGGGATGGGCTTCCGCCGAAGCTTTGGTCGAGAGGTGCTGAGCCGAGCGGCGGGTGTCAAGCCCCGGCGCAGACTATGCCCACGAACCTGGTCTGAATGTATCTCGCGCATTGGCCCGCCATCTGGGCTCTTCTGCCTCCTGGTTTTCCTTGTTTTTTGGCTGATGCAGGAAAGCACAAGGGATGGGCCTAAATTTAAGAAATTTGCTAATTGGAATTTTTATTTTAACAACGATAGGAACTTTTTTCCTTCCATTTTCTACCGAGTTTGGTCTCCTTTAGATAACCATCCTAAGTTAGAGATAGAGAAAACCAAAGAAAATATGCCTGTCTTCAACCGTGACATTTATCTTTCATGGAGTCTGTTCCAGCTGCTCTGCCACTCGAAACCGGGCCCAGCCAGCTTGACACATAACCTTAGCTACCATAATCAGAATCTTTGGGAGTAGAACTTGGGCACTTGATTTTCAAAAAACCCACAGGTGATTTATGCTGAATCTGGGCTGTGGTAGCTAAGGTTGTGTGTCAGTTCGGCTGGGCTGCTCGCTGTAGTTACTCCTCATGATGATATTGTAATCACGTCCGTGGTGGAATCCACTGTGAGCAGCTAAGTAGTTGTCTTTGGGATGTGGCCTGCTTCCAGTATATAAGGAGAAGCTTTGAGGAAGGTCTCTAGCTTTTTGGCACATCTGAATCCTGTATTTGGCAGTCTTCATCTCCACTTCCACAACTTGAACCAGTGGCCTACCATGTTGCCTGACAATCTTGAGATTGTGCCTGGATTTGAACCAGTGCCTGCCATGTTGCCAACTGATGGCAGTTGTGCCATTTTAACTGCCAGCCTTGGGTCTATCAGCCTCAGCAGCCAGCAGCTGCCTGAGTTAGGAGATGCCTCTAGCTCCAGTGGGCCTGGAATAAGAGGCAATGCTGAAACTCAAGGTTGAGGGGCCTTCACCCAAACCCTAGAGCCAGCACTCTGGATTTGCACTTCTAGACTCCTAAACTATAAGGGAATAAGTTCCTGTTGTTGTTGTTGTTGTTGTTGTTAAGTGCCATCGAGTCGTTGCCAACTCATAGCGACCCCATGCACAGCAGAAC